TTACTTATTCTATTATGTTTTCGGTCGAAATTCATAGTTTTGCAGGTTTGTTATTTTTCTGTACTTTGTAGACTCTACACGTTTCTAAGTTTTGTTAGTTCATTAGTAATGAATCCTTTCTCTAAGTATGTTTAGTTCCTGTCTTTTTGGCTACAGTTCACGACAGTTCTGTAGATTATATGAGTTCTATCTGAGGGTATCTGCCTTCCATTTTGATCCCCCTCTATCCACTTCCCAGATCTCCTTCCTTCTCCTTGGAATTGTACCTTGTCCAGTCGTTTTGCTGGATTTGTTTGAGACCTACTACACAAAGGAGCTATTGAAAGGATGGTGCCCACTCAACCAGGATTTTACTCCCATCTTGTGTTATCTCCAAAAACAAGGGAGATTGTAGTCTCATCATAGCTCTGTTCACCATGGAGTCCTACCTCTCACTTCGTTTTTTTTGTTTGTTATTTTTTTGCCACTGTATCAGAGCATTTTCCTTTGGTTCATCTATGAAGGTTCTGTCTTCCAGTTCTGGGTGCTGCTGTTCAGTTTTTTCTTCAGCTCCGTATGTGTTTTGTTGAGGAGTATGCTCTTTTACACATCATCTTCACTAGCTGGGTCTTTGGACTCTCCAGTCCATGGATGACTGGCTTCTGTTCGCATCTTCCCGTGCCCAGTCAGTCATTCATGCTCACTTCTTCAAGAAACTGCTCAGATGGGTTTTCTCATCAAGTTGGAGAAGTCCTTTACTATCCCCTCATAGTATCTTATTCATTTGGGGGTTCTCTTCCCTTCTCATCTTTGTTGAGCCCAGCCTTCGCCACTTCTGATCCAGGATATGGAATGGGCAGTCACAATAGCCCTACCTTGTCCTTCTCTTTCCATACAAGAGGTTCTATCTCTTTTGGGAATGTGGACTTCCTTGGAAGATCTCAATTCCTTGGGTTGGGTGCACATGGATTACCTTCATTAGATGCTTCTCGACCAGTGGAGCTTCTCCCATGATCCCTTAAACCATCCCATCTCCCTTCCACCTGGGATCATGGCCGATTTTGCTTGGTGGCTTGACAGGGACTTGACCATGGTGGGAATTCCAATTCCTCTGCCTTGTCCCACGTCTCATCTCTTCAAGGATGCTTCCTTGGTGAGTTGTGGGCTTTTTCTCGATTCCCCAGATGTTTTAAGTCAGTGGTTAGTCGAGGAAGTTACTTTCCATATCCACATTGTGGAACCTTTGGCAGTTCATTGGGTTCTGTATCATTTCCTCCCATTCTTTGCAAGGGAAGGTGGTTATGGTTCATTCTGACAATTTCAGTGTCGTCAGCTCTATCACCTGACAAGGGGGAACCATGTCCAAATCTCTGTCTTTTCAGATTCTAGATTTTCTGAACTAGGCCAATGACCACAGCATGATGGTTCTGGGGTGTCTTGTTCCCAGAGTAATAAATCTTGTGGCCAGTTGCTTAACATGTCTAACCAGGTTCTCCACAGAGTGGTCCCTTCATCCTCAGGTATTTCTTTGGGTGTGTTTTCCACTAGGAATACTGCATATATGTGTGTGCTTCCCACTCACTATAACACCAAACTTACTTACTTTTTGGTCTCCAGTTCCTCATCCCTCTGCTCTGGCCTTTACTGGAGCGACAGCCCCTGCCCTTTTCTCTGCCCTCCAACAACCACAATTAGACGTTTTTCATACCAACATGACCACACTCCATCTTCACGTGAAAAGTCTAGTCCCAAGCCTCAGCTCTGGGACTCGCCCCTCGTGTAGCATCTTTCCTTGCCTGTACCATTCGCCTTTCCTCCTTTTCTATGTCCTAGAGTCTTTGGTCTATTTGCCCTGGCTTCCAACCATTCTGTTCTTCTGTTCCTCACTTGTCCCAGTTCTTCATTTGGTTGTTTGGTCAGGGTTTGTCTGTTTCAACTGTTGCTCTTTTTAGGGTTGCCGTGTCATACACCTTCCTTCCTTCCACTTCCAGAAAGCCTTCTCTTCGCTGGTTATTTCCCTCCTTTTCCATTCCTTTTTCTGGTCCATTTGTCATGTTCTTTTGTTCTGCTGTATTGGGATCTCCATATTGTTCTACATGCCTTGTCTGGTTCTCCCTTTGATCCCATTGCAATGTGTTCTTGTATCATATTATTATATTACGATCAAGATATATAATGATCAATCTTATGCAAAGTATTTCCACTGGATGTTTTCTGCCTGGATGGACTGCACTTGACATAATCTGATGTATATTAAGGGGCTTCCCCTGGATATTTTGCCTGGGCTGACTACACTTGACTATCATAATATATATCCAAGGTGCTTCCCCTGTGTGTTTTTTGCCCCAGAGGACTGCACTTGGTGATCTTATGAACTTAAGCAAGGTACTTCACTGTTGTTTGTGCCCAGATGGACCACACTTGGCATAATCTGTCATATCTCAAGGTGCTTACCCTGGATGTTTTTTGCCTGGGCAGACTGCACTTGGCCTTTTCATATGTCTTTTAGCCCTAGCCATGTATTTTTATGTCAGATTACAGGCATTTTCTTGAAATCCAACTATCATTGTGTCACATGCTCATTACATACATGAACGTCTTATGTATTATCTGTTGTCCACAGGTGGAATCTGTCTTACATGACATCGTGCCCTTCTATTAAGTTCCGCCCTATGTGTCTTACTTCTTTCATTACTGAACAAAGAGCACACCTGTTCCAGAACTAGTGCTATACCCCACAGGTGTGCTTCATTTTAAAATTGTGGCACACCTGTTCTTTCACAGTGGGTGTTCTCTGCTTGTTTGGTTACTTTTGCACCTTCACCAACCATCCACCTTTGCTATGTGGGATTCTAGCTTTGAGTGAGAGGAGGTAGTACCATTTCAGAAGTTAACATTTTCTAACACTGAAAATGTAGTTCTTATAGGTACTTACCTCCTCACACTCACTTCTCTCCCTTCCTCCCCATTGATTTGCTGGTGTTTCTGGGTTGTATTTACCAATTCTCAAAAGTGAGGATTGTGCTGCAATGGTAGAGGGACCTACCAATGCTAGTATAGATGGTGCAGTATAATTGGTGGAGGGTAGTCACATGATCAGCACGTGTTACTGCAATGGTGCAAAAATGAAGGGGTATGATAGACTGGTGTGCTGTTGAAAACTTTAGCAATGCTTGGAGGACAAATCAATGTCGAGATAGCTGTGGGTATAAGAAGGTAAGTACCTGTCAGAAATACATTTTCAATACGAGAAAATGTTAACTTTTGCTAATTGGTTATTCATCTTCTATTCAAATACTTTGAAAGTGACCAATGTTTATGTGACAATTCTAAGTTGTGTTTACTTTGTTTTTTGGACTCTTCCAACAATTTTGGGAGTAAATGATTTTGCAGGTAGGCTTTTCACCCCACAGTATATTAATAGAATTCCAAAAAGAGATGCAAGAGGTTCCCAAAAATAGGGCATCAAAAGGCTTTCGGTTTTTTGCAGTGAATTACATAAAATTTGAGTAAACTCGTAAAAGGTTATTCAGAACAAGAATATACTTTCAAAATTTAGAACTTTTTCAATTTCACCCTTTCATATAAAGATCAAAAGGTTTAAGAGAGTCTTAAAGATTTGGCTACACAAATTTACTTGAAAATTGATGAGAGCTGTAAATGGTTGTTCAAAGCAAGGTGTACAATTTATTTTTATTTTGCATAGCTGCTATTTCCCACAAATTTTCATGGGTAAATCTGTAAGTACTCATAACAATTATAATAAAAATAATAGACATATTATAAATATTGTAACATTTTCTGAAAATCTTATATTTTTTTATGAACTAAACAGTTAAATGTGGTTGATATTATACAAACATATAAAAATTTTAATGAATCATTTTGCCATAAGGTACCCCTTCTTGTAAAAATAGTACTGCTATTTATGATGATTTATTTGTTTCAATTAAGTTATATAACCACCAAAAATATCTTTATCATAAATATGCAGGATATTGTTTGTGATTTTAGGTGTTAAAAATCTAATTTTTATTTAATTTTTAAAAAATTCACTTTTAAAGGCATTTAAGGTTCAATGAACAATACTAAACAGGTAATGTAAAATATTTCAAATATTAGTTGTGTTTCTGTAAGTTTCTTTCAAATATTTCCAGTAATTTTTCATAATATGTTTCTGAATAAAATACTATCATATTGGTGAAAATTTGATTGTAAAAGTAATATTACTTTAATAATTGTGTAAGCTATTTGTTGAAAGGATATATACATTCTTACACACAGAGTGATCAGAAAAGAGACAAGACGAAATACCAGTTTTCCAGAGCTGTATTTTTTAATAAAACTCAGGCTGATGGTATAACATATTAAATCTCAAAAGGATACTTAAAGATATGTAATACTTGATATCAAAGGTGTATGTAGGCAACAAGGAGGTGAACAACATTTGATTAATCTGTTGAGGCTACATCAACATTCAGTGGTTTCAATATGTACAACAGTTATGGCACTTGGAAGGAAAGGTAACTTCATATGGTCGATATTGTACAAACGTCTTGCAAAAATGTTAATGAATGATTTGGCCATAAGATACATGAGGTAAATACAAATATCCTTTACATTTGAAAGTACACTAGTTTAGGTCACTAAAGTTTTGAAACCTCTTTATAAATCACATAGTTCTTGAAAGTCATGAATTTGAGGTAAAGTGTTTATGAAGATTTTAAATAAAGCGTTATTGTATTAATTGATATTACTTTATTGTTTCTGAAGGTGAATCTTCATCTGTTTTGTGTTTAAAATATATTTTGATTTTTGTATTTTTGGAATTATAAACTATCTTTGATGACAAGTTCTAGGGAGATGCTAAATACTCAGGGACTCTAGTATAAATAGGGGTAGAATCTTAATCTCTGGCTGAGGTACCTGTTAAACTATCACTGGCCCTGGTTCTTGTGTATATAAGATCATTATTTTATTGTTGTTTACATTTAAATAAAAAAGAATATTTTCTACTATAGGTGAAAATTCCAGATGATCATCAGAATTATGCTTTCAAGAGACATGACAAATATTTTCCCCAAAATCAATTTACTGTTGTTAAAAGAAATCAAGATCTACTGTGGGAATCCGACAATAGAGAAAAACAAGTAAAACCAAATGAAAATAAATAAGTTAGTGAGCATAAAGATTATCATCTTGTTAAATTCCCATTATATAATGGCATGGTTTATAGAGCTGTTAGAAATCATCAACCTGATGTTAATATAAATGCTAGAAACCAGCTAGTTAATGATGTGAATGGTGTATTAAATATGGGAAGAAGCCTTGAGAAAGATAATTGATTTAAACAGTCTGAATGGTTGTTTTGTCCACTTTTACGTATTTCTTCAAGCTACTAGAATGTACTGATTAATTCTTTTTTGTAAACATCTTAACTTTTATGCTTTATCTTCTGCCTAAACAGTGGCATAACTAGATCTGAAAGGACCCAGGGGCAATAACAAATTTGCCCTTCCCCCTAATAAAACCTTTTCAATGTTTTAGAATATTTTCCCTTCAATTCCAATATTCAGATTTTCAAATACCAATGTTGAGGAGCCCCTGGTCAGTCTGGACCCTGGAGAGACTGCTCCACATATTGCTTTGTCTTTGTATCTTATTATTGTTACATCTTGTCTATTCTAATATTATACATATTAAAATATATTATGCTTGATTTTTAATTTATCAAATGCAAGTGAATTATTGTTTTGATATGATGTTTTAATACTTCAATGAAAGCTTCAGATGCAACTGTCATACAGTATACATGAAATAGGTAAATATATGAAGATAAATTTATAGGTTTGTTAGTTTGCTAGATATTGTGATGTGTTTTTGTAGAAACTAGAAACATTTAGAAGTTATAAGATAATAAACAAATCTTAATTGGAAGTTTTAAATAAATATTTAAGCTGAGAAAGGTATCTGTTCAATATTCATGTTTTAAGAGAAGGTTTACTTTCATTAATCTATCACAAGTTATTTTTAATATTTATTTTTATGTACCTATAATACATCTAAGATACACAACCCATAGTCTCAGGAGATGAATGCAATTAAAAATTAATATCAGAGCATCAGATCCATCTTCCTAACATTTTAATTTCTTTATATATATATATTTTTTTTTAAATTGTTTTTCCATATGGTATTTCAAAATGAGACTTGTAACATTAACACTTTTGAATTTGCCATTTAACTTGTCATAACTTATTAAAGAATTTTCAATTTGCCACAATATTTTTGCATCTGCTAAATTTGCCATGAATTGCACTGTGTTTCAGCTTGTCTGACCACTGATATAGATTTTTCAGTTTAACATTAATTTTTTTCCTTTACGACTTTAATCCTAACCAGTTTGAGGTTGACCTATATAATTTGTAAGGCAAGAATGTTTACACCTGGGTGGCTGGTCCAGTTGTAAACCATATAGGATGGGCATGAGCACAACCCTCAGATTGTGAGTTGAGCTCCCTAACCACCAGGCCATGCTAGACTGTTTATCAGAGAAGTGTTAATTTAATTTTAATATAGGCTAAATAAGAACTAACATGACTTTTCTTTTTATTAACATCACTCTGGGGATTACATTTTAATATAAACACCAGAAAAAGAAAGTTTAAGTTGAGCAAAATAGTTTTAAATACAATTACATATTATAAAGCAGAGCCACTACTAAACCACACACTATGTGTATATATATATATATATATATATATATATATACTACTATAATATATTAGTATAGTATA